TCAGTCTCTGCAAGCCTATGACAAAATGAAATCTGAAATCAATATTTTACACGCTTAAAGAGTTAATTTCTTGCTCTTATTAAGGAATGTTCTTTTTTGTGATGAAGATTTAATTATAATGAGATGCTTTAGATTAGATATTGAAATAAAGTCACCAATAAGTATGTATCTTTACAAAACAAACCACAAATACTACCAGATAATAACAATTCGAGAATATGACTACGATTCATTTAATCCACTGTAAATCCACTTCTTTCTCTTTTTCCCCAAAATGCCTTAGAGGGATAGAAAAGCATTACTTTCACACTTACAACACAGCTATCAGGGAAACAATATTGCTAATACATGCTCTCAGTCCTGACCTTTTTCGGAGTTCATTTAGCTCCATATTGTCTATTTCAACAATAACTGCAGATCTTTCCTGTGGTGCTCCAGGGGGAACTTCTGCTCTAGTTTCATCCTAGAAAATATTAAAGGGGAAAAAAAGCCAGTCACCATTTTTCTAGTTGCTAAAAAATCTTTATTTCAATTAAAGAAGCCGTAAGTACCACCAAGCAGTGAACAAACCACTCTTTGTGCCATTTAGTCTTTTAATTTCCGGAGCTGCAATTTTCCAAATCTGTTTTCTACAAAGTTGATGAAGAATACTGCCTGTGTGTGCTGCAGGACTTGAAGGATACATGTACACTGTGTAACACAGCAATCTCTAACAGTAAGTGGAAGAAATGCATCTACACATACACATAGTGATATAGCACTGACCACAGTTTCATAAGTAACGCAGCTATTCCACTAACAGAATCTGAGACAAAATACCTGTGTGGTATCGCACCATGCCATGTAGATATGCCAGTTCACACAGAGGTAGCGGAAATATTTTGCACAGGATTGCATTCTTTTTTCTCACATTTGTGGACTTCGTTCCAGGCACATAATTTCCACATTGTATTTCCAGTCCTCATAATACCCTCTGACTATCAGGACTAATTACTGCAGCTATAGCTGCCTAGGTCACTGCTACAGCATAACATGCATGGCAGAGCAGAAATTCCTGGACATGCAGTAGGACTAAGACAAATCATGAGCAAGTTGGGATCACCAGTCAGGGTGGCGCTGATTAACTGTTTCGGAGTAATGGCTATATGTAAGTGAAGAAGAGGTGATGTCGAGAGTCTGAAGTTTCGCTATGCCTAACATAAAGCTTAAAGCATACCCATTAGCAATGTTTAAATTCAGAGCTAGTGAGCTCTAGGCAGTGCGGAAGCACTGGGAACTGTGGTTAAGCAGCCCCATGCTTTGCAATCAATATGTGAAAGAGGTAGAATCCAAATCGTCTGTGAGATAAGCAGCAGGGGATTCATTTATTTTGTAGTTTACAGTTCTCCTTGTTTGTGTTTATTTCCGTTATTTTAGGGTCTTATATTAACTGATCATTACTAAATAACCAAGGCAGTACAGGAAAACTTTCGAAAAATGAAAAGATCACAAAGGAATAAGCTTACAGATGTATATGAGGGGTTGGCAAAGGGTACTGAAATGCTGAACTGGTGATACAGATCTCACTTCTGAAAATATTACTCAAACACCTTGCAAAATGATTCATGACTGCTGTGAAATTACCACTAAACTTTGCTGATCCAATGATTAGTGATCATCCAATTATCTCTGCCAGCAGTAGACCAATTCAAGATGATACTTCAAAACAACAAAAAAGCGTGTGAACAGCTTCCTTGAATGAAAAGTCAAATAAAAACAGCTTTACAACAATAAAGACAGTTATCTTCAGTGCATCATGGGATAGCAAAAGTACTGAATCAGTACAACAAAAAGTACTTTATTTTTAGCATGAAAACCAGAAAAGTGTAAGCACAGAAGAAAAAAAAAAACACTAAAAACATTTCCATATATTTGTTTACCTGAACAGTGCCTTGGAAAGATGTCACTTGCATGGTCTGATATTCCCTCTCCAGCCTTAAATAACGATTTTGCAAGTCACTGTAACGAAGCTGGTTATCCCTTAGAGTCTGCGAAAGAGTCTTCAACTGGGCAGACAAGACGGCATTCTCTTCTGCTGACTGCACAACCTAAAAGAAATTAACATTTAAATAAATAAAAATTGGGAATTATCTCCTCCAGGAAATTACTACAGATTTGAGACCTGCTGTTGAAAACAACGGAGTACTAGTCTCAAAATTGCATCAACTTTTTGGCAAGCTCACAGTTTGGTAAGATTTAACTAGTTGTTTTATGAGCAGTGGAAATAATGAAACCTGAGGATTGATTTCCCTTTTCATCAATATGCCCAAACTAGAAACTTAGGGTTTTAAACCCCAATGCCTTCCTCCCCATGTTTGCTATGATATCACCACCTGGCAAAAGACAGTATATATAGCTGCTACTTCAGGACAATTCATATAGCCAAATAAGCCTGATAATATAAACATGTTCACCAGGCAGTCCAGGAACACACAGCAGTTGAGTTTTCATCTTTTCAAAAAACAGACTGTAATTTGGGTCTCCACCCATTACCCAAACAGTCATCTTTACTTGTAAGAGCTTGAGATTTCTACATCTGTTTCACAGTTTGGTTAAAAGTGTTATTAGGTTTATAAAATATTTGGGTGAAGGAGTGAAAACAGACACAATGACAGATGAAAGGTAACATAAACCTAATTTGCTTCGAACACCAGGCCACACAGAGAGGTAAGCATTAAGGGAATTTCCAAGAACGTTTACAAACTTTTGCAAACAAAATTGAACGCAAACACACATAGGCATGCAGACAGACACACACTTACCGTCTTAAGAGCCCCAAAAGGGTTCATCAAGAAATTGTAAGGAAACATTCTTGAGGTACTTAAAATTTGGTACAAGATAGCTAAAATCTTGTTCTGGCTCAGACAGACATCTGTTTCTGTCTATAATGAAAAATGTTTTACTTTGAGTAGAAGTTCAGCAGTGCCCTATCAACCTCTTCAGAATGCAAATTCAAATAAACCTCTCTGTCAAATAACAAGTCAGGAAACCCTGACAGAAAGATAATACTGACATTTAGTACGCAATTTCTAGTCTGAGCCAACAGGGTTGTTTTGAAGCATCTAAGTTTTAAAGCACTCCAACTTTCCATTATACAAGACACCGCCAATTTAGCAATATTTCTATGTTGATACCAGCTCAGATTCACATGAGCTATTTGGGATCGCAGCTGTTGTTCTAAGTTACCTTTGAATTAATCTGCTGAAAATGCAGATCCTTCTGGTGCATCTCCTGAAAGCAGCGCTGCAGTTCATTCTGAAGCTGATTCTTCTCAGCTAAGACATGTCTGGTTTCCTCCGGCATGTCTGCACTTCCAGCGAGGGAGGCAGTTTCTAAAACCTTAAAAAGTATTAGCATATTCAGGGTAAATGGTATAGGAGGAGTTTTCTAAATAACACATAACTCGAACACTAAATATACACATGGACTAAACAGTAATTTCCTTTTCACAAGATCATTTCCTTCTCACAAGTTAATACCGCATTTGCAAGAGACTTTGTATATAAAAAAAAAAATCTTCTATTTAGTGTTTTCAACCTAAATACTTCAATTAAAAAAAAAACAATAAAAAATTACCATGAAAAGGCAACCCAACTTAATTTTTAATTTGCAAATAGTGTGAAGCATGCAAAAAAAAAAGAAAAATATTAAAAGCCAGGTGAATATAAAACGCCTTTCAAAAATTATTTTCAAACTAATAATGCATGGTATTCATGACTTGTAAAACAGCTATTCTGTAAATATGAATTTAAAGCTGAAAGTCCATTTAAGTCCATTTGGGAAAAAAAAAAACAAAAAACAAACAAAAAACAACCCAACTTTATCACCAATTCACAACTTTGGCCTTCTTTATCTCTGGCAGGTCAACACTTTGATGTTAATCTCCAATAACGGAGGGAAGTGTTCCATAATGCTTTATGTGTTCTCTAATGCTTTATGGAATCTATTTTCCTATTAAATCATGAAATAAAGACTTTTACCACATAAAATATTCCATAATCCAACAGACATTACTGTTCAATAGTGTTTATTCATGATTTTAATCACAGAAAATGAACAGCATATGAGACACAAACTTGACCAACTAAAATGTTGTTTTTAATGAAATTAAAAGGAACACAGTTTACTTCCTTTGGCACAGAAAAGGCAAATAAGAATATTTTTCCAAAATAACACTTTCCTTGAACCTTTAATGATAGTCTACAAAAGTTGACAGCAATTGCCAGACTGGGTGTCAGCTACTACCTTTCTAAATCTGGTATTTTGTTACTGGCAGAAGCCAACTCCAACTGCTTCAGGGGAAGGGTAAGAACATTTCCATTAGGCACATCTCTCCCTTCTCCCCCAATTTGGTCCTATTCTAATCTGCAGTAATTAGAGATTGATTTAGGCTCTGATGAATGAACTTTACTAGAGCTTTAAAATTTGTTAGCATCAAGCATACAAATTACGAAAACTCTTGTTGTCAATGTAAACTACCAAGTTCTTTTTTTTCTCTTAAAAACTGTGTCCCTGAAAACATGTTGTAGCTATAATATATCTGAAAAAATGTTCACGTTACCTGAAAGAGCACATCCTTTTACTAGTTTTGTATTTGTCACTGAACGTCCCTTATTCTGGGTTTCCAAGAAGTGAGAGTATAGATTCTCATTTCACTTACATCCCACAGTACTATTAGGTTGGGGTTTTTTCCTCTCATTTCTTTCTTTCTTAATATAAACAATCCCAATTTTTTCTGAATTTTCTTCTTAAAAGTTTTTCTATATCATACCATTTCTTCAATATTCAAATAACTTATTTGATTTAGACTGGTTTTCTAAAAATAAGATATATGCAAGTCATCTTGTTTGTCTATCTGTTGCCCCAATAATATTGGCAACAGCTAGCCAATTCTAAAACTGGATTTTAAAAGAAGGTTCATGTCTCAAAAAATTATGATGCTTCTATACTTAGTGTAATAATCACTGAACTGGGGGAGACAGATCCAACTTGATATTACCTATTGAGAGAAAAAGAAATAGGTAGAACACAGCTGTAGTACAGGCTGTCAGGCAGGTGATTAAGTCAATCAGCACGCAAGGGCTCAGTGACAATAAATTCATTGTTGGCATCCTACAAGTAATAGTACAGCATCCTATTCTCTTCTGAACAAGTGTGCTATAGGAACAAGTAACGACACTGGTGTTATAATAGTCTGAACAGTAAGAGGACGCATGATAGAGATGAAATTGGCACAAGAAGCCAGAATTATATTCCCACTTGTGGACATAACATGGTTAATCTCAGCTACTACAGGAGAAGAATCCCTTCTTGAGTTGTCTGAAAGTTCCCTATCCTCTTCTTGATTTGAAAGAATTAACTGAGAAACCTGTAAAGTGCACTAGTTCTTTTTTCCCTTTCCAGTATGTGTCTTTATTTATCAGCATCCAGTCTGCTGTTGCACCATGTTTGAACCTTGGGTTTGTTTTGGGGGGGTTTTTGTTGTTTGTTTGCTTGGTTTTTTTAAACGTCTTCATATTATATTCTGGATTTAGCTAACCTAAGATAGTAACTTACAAGTAATTAAAGTAATCTACTAAAATTAGCAACTCAGCAACAAGCAAATACCATTACTTTACAATGTAACCACAGCAAATTGTTACTCCTTTTTGACTAAGAATCAGTAACTGTTATTGGTTCATGACCTTCACCTTTTGCTTCACAACCATTTCATTTCTTTATGAAGGTGCTTTCCATGTTTTTAACTATTAAAATACACCACACCAGCGAGTCTTCTCTCTTATTTTATCAACATGAGAAACTCATTATTTTTCTTTGTTTAAAATAAGTTGACCAATACATCAGACTCCATTAAAAAGTGGTTTTAATAATTGCAACTGATTTGCCTGGAATTGTTGTAACTTGCTGATTTGACCCCAGGCAACACTGACATACAGGTAATGCACTCATCAGCCTTTGATACTTCACTATCATATGCTGTATAGTTCTCATTGGGGAAGCAGGCTGCGAATTTAATACAATAAACTGATGGAATTAGATTCGTGCCTCCTAATACATTTCTTTTCTTTACCTTGACTGGGTAATTGCTGCCAGTGGAGACTGATTTCTTAACAATCATGTCTTGTTGCACCTTCTGTAGTTCTGCAATCTGTCGGTCTTTCTCCGCAACTGTGATTTGATACTGATTTCGGAGTGCCTGGGACTCTGAGAGGAGGAGGTTGTTTTCCATTCTGAACATAAAAAGTTAAGACTAGACGTTAAATGATAATATACTACATACAAGTGAATGAAAAGGATAAAGCTGTACTCACTGTTATTTCTGAAATAAATAATGGTATTTTTTGAATAGTTATATGCAAATATGGAGCACTATATGAACATTCTCAATACATACTTCAGTTTAAAGACATCTGCTAAAAAAAAAAAAAAAACAAAACCAAAAAACCAGAAAACTTCAGCTACCTAAAAGATAAGGTTGCGCAGCAAAGCAACTCTAGGTCACAGTTGTGCAGAGTGCTGCTCAAGATAGCCAGTCTACCCTATTGCAAGTACACAAGTTTGAAAAGGAATACCCTAGACGCAGAAGACTGAAATAAACAAACATGCCACACCTCCAGAAACTGCTGTCGTACACAGGCAATATCACAAAGGGCATAAAAGTAATTTAAATCCTTTTGAATTCAATTTAATATATGTTTTTAAAGTTTGGGGAAAAAAAATGGAAGAAGACTATTCATGCTGTTCACTGGTTAAGTCTACAAGTTAGAATGAGGTTTGAATATTTCATGCTAACTTGCTCACATTTGCAAACATAAATGTGGGGCTGGCCTTTTGATCTACATCCCCTTCCCCAAGAGCTTTTAATATAAAACAGATATTATCTTACAAAGACTTGTTAGAGATCTAGAAATTGCACTACGGACAATAAAATGCTGTAAGGCACAAGGATAATGCCTACTGGCCTCAAATTCAAACAAAATTATCTTCACTGAATTGATCATAACGTGCTTTCGCACTTCAATCATCTGTACGAGTTTAAAAGGTTGAACGAGAACAGCAGTCTAAAATGACCAAATCTTGATCTGCCTCCACTGAGTGCCACTTAAAAATGCCTACTGCCTTCTTTGAAGCAGACCTCATGAGGCATTCACCGAATTAGGCCTAAGGTGTCACATTATTCATTTGTCACAGATGATGCAAGATGTGAACAGTGCTGAAGTGGACTCTTGAATCTACAAAAATAATGCTCAAATGTGAAATGAAGTTGATTTTCAATATGTAGTTGAGCCAAACGCGCAACACCTCAGACATTTTTTAAAAAAAAGATATTTGGGGGGAAATGTTCAGCCATATCAATCGATATTCTAAGAAGAGAATATAATACCAAGCATTGAAATAAGATTCTTAAACTGTAGTTCCATATATCCAAGTCACCAACAGAACAGAAAACATTCAATTAAGACTGCCTGAAACTTTATATAAACAAAGAGACCATTACATAAAGATAGAAGGATAACGACAAACAAAGGCAACTCTGTGGAAGTTGATTTAGCACATTACAGAAATCTTCTTATCCTACTTCCTGCTAAACTATACCTAATTTTGGGTTTGTGTCAGTTTGATGTCAGGTTGTGAAGTCACTGAAGAATTCTGTACAAGAGCCACGTGTACTACTTGTTAATTTTAACATTTATTTATACCTTAATCCAGCAAGCTCATTCTGGTATGATGCAATCTCTCTCTCAGTTTCTGCTTGGAAGGCTTTTGTCTGATGCAATGCCTTCTCCAAATCATCAACCTTGGTCTTCAGTTTTGATATTTCAACAGCTGCAAGGCTGGCTCCTTCTTTAGCCTATGTTTAATAAACATGATTAGTGAACTGGAATGAAAACGATATAGTTGAAGTCTTATTAGTGCTAGAATTCTAATTACAGAATAATGTTTTTTCCCCATTTTAACAGGATAATTACCTAAACTCCCAAAATTGTAAGCATGCCTTCTCTAGTCACACAATGTTTTCTTAGCACTCACATAATTTACAAAGTTAAACTTCAGAATCCATAATGTCTCTAAGCATTCTCTGCATTAAAAAAAAAAATACAAAGTGATGTAGCTGATGAAAACTTACCAATCCTTCCCTATCGTTCTGAGGTGTATCCAAATTACTTTTAAAAGAATTTATCTCATTGATGCTGTTGCAACCAATGGGAAATGAAGTTGTGCCCTGTTTTGTTTCAGAAGTTACCTTCTGATTGCTGAGTTCCTGCAGCAATTTGTCTCGGTCATCCTGAAGACTGGCCATAGCCTTGGAAAACGCTTCAATCTGGTGAACATAATTCCCACACTCAGATGAGAGCCTGCTAATCTCCATCTCACGACTAACTAATGTCCTACAGAGATTTTCAATTTCATCAGCAATCTGATCAAGTGTAACCTTATCTGCAGCATCAAAAATAACCCCATTCAGAAGAGAATTTTCTCTGAGCATACTGATAAGATGTAATTTAAAGCCATCCAATTCAGCTTCAAGTTCATCTCCTTTCTTTTTTTCAGTCTTGAGTTCAGATGTGTATTTGCTCTGAAGTACCTTTAAGTCCTCTATTATCCTATCTCTATCATTTTGCAGAGCAGTCATTGCTTTCCCAAAGGCCTCATTTTGGGACCTCAGCTCACTATTTTGAGACTGAACTTCTAATATCATCTTCTCTGCAAAAGCATCAGGTTCATCTCCATGTTCAAGTGTCAAAAGAGTCTTACTGTATTCCTCATCTGCACCCTTAGTATTTCTGCCTCTTGATTTCTGGAGTTCTTGAATCTTCTTCTGAAGATTTTCTCCAAACTGTCCATTTGATACACATTCTTTTTTCTGAACACTATCACTAGTTACTAGTTTCTCTCCAGATTCAGAAACAAGTTTCTCTTTGTTTAATGATGCAATTAAAGATTCTAAATCATTTACTTTAGATGCTAATTTTTTATTTTCGTGTTCCAAAGATACAGCAGTATCCTTTTGCAGTTCCTTGGAAAGTTGCATTTCTTTCATTTGTTTTTGAAGACCGTATTTTTCTTGTTCAAGGCTTTTAATACAATCCAATTTCTGCTTAAGTAAGTCTTTCAGCTGATGGTCTTTCAGAGATAAAACTTGGTTAAGATCTTCCCTATACTTTATCAGCTGTGCACTTAGCATTGCATTTTCAGAATGAAGATCATCTATCTGATTGAGAAGGATCCTTAATTCTTGTTTCAAAGCATTATTCTCACTTGCATTGCCAACTATAAGACTGTCCCGCTGATTTAAGACATCTTGGTGAAGATGTTCCAGCTCTTTGTATTTAGAAAAAAGATCATCCCGATCATTCTGAAGAGATGACATTGATTTTTTAAAAGCATCTATTTCACTGGCAATTGCAGCCTTATCTTGACCCGCTTTGTCTGCTTTCATCTGGAGATTTCTCAATTCATTTTCCATCCTCTGGCAGGACTCCTCAGATTGTTGTCTCTCTATCTGCAAAGACCTTAACTGAAGTTCATACTCTTTGATTTGTTTTCTATGTTGAGTCTGTACCTGAATCAGATAGTCAGAAATTTCATCACCTTTTGAAGAAATGAGTAAGGAAATTTCTTTGTCTTTATTATTTAGCATGATCTTCATTTGCTCAGAAATGGTAATCTGCTTTTGCAACTCAGCATTAATTTTTTCCTTCTCAGCTAGCAGCTGTTGCAATTCTTGTTCCTGTCTTGTAAAATTACTTTCCAGAGCTTTTATCTCTCTTCCTGCACTTTTACTATTCTCTATGAGATGATTAAGAGAATTATTTTCTTTAAGGAGTGCTTGCAAAGCTTCTTCTTTGGACTGAAGAACACTCTCCAATTCTTGCTGCCTGTTAAAAAAAAAAGTATTTTCCTCCTTTATTCTGCAGAGCTCTTCATACCGTTGTATATCAAGAGATTTTTGCCTCAAATACAGTTCATCCTTTGTCTCATCTACCACAGAATATTTGGTATTCAATTCCTGAATCTGAGTAATTTTGTCTTTCAATTCATCTTGTAAAGACATTATTCTTTTATTACCGTCTTCTATCTGTTTCTCTTTATTTTGGATGGCCTCTTTGAACTGCATTTCCCAGGTTTTCATTTCAGTGATTACCCTGTCCCGGTCATCCTGAAGAGAGGACATACACTTTGTAAAAGCAGCTAATCGTGCCAAAGCTGCATTCAAATCTGCTTGAAGTTTCTTGTTTTGAGAGTCCTTAATGCTAACTTCCTCTTGCAAACCATGAATCTCACTAATTGCCCTATCTTTTTCTCTCTCAAGGGCACCGTGTCTTTCCTCTAGGTTCAAAAATTCTCTTTTGTGAACCAATTTTAATTGTTGAAGATTAAATTCCAATTCTCTCTCATATTCTCTCTTTTGAATTTGTAGTTCGTCCTCTTTCTTCTTAAGTTCTTTTCTCCAATTCAGATTCTCATCTGTAAGCCTGTCCACTTCATTCTTGAACTGATCCAACAAGTTCATCTGTGATGAAAGCTTTCCCTTGAGACAACATACTTCTTCATTTGACTTCGCAAGCTTTTCTGACATATTACTTAAGTCCTTTTCAAATTTTTCGCTTTTTGACTGTGACAGTTTCACAGATCTTTCCAAATCCAGGATCAGCTCCTGGAACTTGATAGAATCCTTTTGCAAATGGTTGATCTCCTGCTGTTTCTCCTTTAAGAGTTCTTGCAATTCTTTCGTTTTATTTTTACTTCCATTATTATCCCTCTGAGCACTTTTCACCTTCTCCTCAAACACTTTTACAAGATGTAACTGCTGTTCTTCTTTTTCTCTAATCATGTTACATTTTTCTGCCTTTAATTCTTCCAGTTGCTGCAACAGCAAGTTATTCTGTACCTGCGCTGATTTCACTCTATCAGTAAGATGATCAACTTTTTTAACATGATTAAGCAATTCTGTCTCAAGAAATTCTCTCTCATTCTTTACTTTGTAGGAACTTTCTTGTACATTTTCTAATTCTTCCTGTAACAGACATTTATCATCCTCTAAAATCTTAACTTTTTCATTTAGACTAACAATTTCTTGTGTAAGACTTTTACATTCCATGTCCAGCTTTGTTAGACAATGATTTTTATGGTCCAAAGATTTCTCAGTTTCTTTTGCTTTTTCTGAAATTAATTTTCTTTCTTGTTCTAGGACAAGCACATCTTGTTCTTTTTCAGAGAGTTTATCCTTTAACACATCAATGTCTTTTAACAATGATTCATTCTCATATAATGCATCATTGATTTTAGACTGCATATCATTTTGGTACACTTCCATTTGAACTTGGAGCTCTCCCAAAGCTGCTTTAGTTACAGTGATGTTATTATGAAGGATATCATTTTCATTCTGAATTTTCTCTAAAGCCTGCTTTAAATTTTCAGAAGTTTGTTTCAGCTGCTCGTTTTCTTCCATTAGCTGATGATTCTGTTCAGTGAGTTCATGAAGACGATCCTGGTGTTCTTGCATCCTTGCCTCTTGCTCACGTATCTGCCTTTCTGCTTTACTTTGTAATTCATCAACTTCCATTTTCTTGGATTCGCCGAGGTGTTTCAGTTGATTCTTAATAACCTCATTTTCATCAATGAGTTTTTGTAAATGCTTCTCAAGAGCCTCCTTCTCAGATTCTCCTTCCCTGAGTCTCTGAATAGCCTCTTGCTTCTCTTTTCTACTGAGATCAATAACTTGCCTCATATCTGCTATTTTACTACTGATATTCTCATATGCCTGAAGAAGTGATTCATACTCCTGCTTTAATTCACTATGTTTAGCCTTCCATCCTGTTAATTCAACTGTCTGAGAATCTTTTAAGGTATTTAGTTGGAAAGAAAAGGCCTCTTTTTCCTGAACTATAGTCTCCATGGTGGACTTAAGACTTTCACATGCCGCGGTGAGGTTTTCGTTTTCAGTCAACAGTCTAGCATTTTCAGAAACAAGGCTCTCCTCTTCAGACAATGGAGAAACAGTACTTGAACTTTGTTTTTCTCTACCAAGCTCTAACAAGTGTTCAAGCATACCTGTCTTGTTCACCAGTTCTTCTCTTTCCAACATCAGCTTATCAACCTGGTCTTTCAGACATTTATTTTCTCTCAGGGCTTCTTTACGTGATATTAAAGCCGCCTGTAATTTTCTTTGAAGGCGCTCTCTAGACTTCTCTTCTGCTACAGTTCTTTGCTCTTGTGGTTTAGAATCATTTACATTCATAGTTTTTGCCAGCGTCTCTTCAATCATTTGCATTTGTTTCTGGATTTGACATTCTGTTGCTTCTCTCAGCTTAGTTTTCCCAGAGTAATCAGTCTCTGATAGTTGAAAACAGGTGCCTTTACCTTGTAGCTTTCCTTGAAGGGAATTACTGTCCGAACAAAACTCTGCCAATTCTTTTTCAGTATCATTTTCTTCCTTAAGCTCTTTGCATGACACCATAGGTCTACTCATCTCAGCCTTCTCATGTAGCTTACATAGCTCTGTCAGAAGTTTTTTGTTTTCTTCACTGAAATGTTTTACCTCCTTTTTCATACTAATTAGTTCCAAATTGGACTTTTCTAAACAACTGAGAAGTTTCTCTTTTTCACTCTTCATTTCTTCAAATGCCGTTTTGTAATGGTGGGCTTCTTCTTGGCCCTCCTTTATAGCTTCGTTTAATAATTCCTTTTCCAGAACAAGTTTATCTTTGAAATCCGTAAGAGAACAACGCAATGCTTCTATTTCCTCATTCTTTTCTGCAACCTCCTTCTCAGCTTCAATTCTCAACCTCTGCAGTTTCTCCTGGCTCATCTTGTAATCCTCTTCACTTTTTTTAATAAGTGCTTCTTTCTCATTATTCACATGTTCAAGTGATGTCTTAATGTCTACAGCTTCAGCTTCATATGCTTTCAGCTTTTTCTGTAGCTGCTTTATGTCCTCCAACAAGCTGCCCTTACATTGCTCCTGGTACTGCTCCTGCTGTCTCAAAGAGTTTAAGTTGACTGTTTCTTCTCTTCCATCACCAAATTCAACTGATATTTTTCTCAACTCCTTCTTTAACATTTCTGTTTCCTCCTGAAGTTTTGCATAATTACTTCTTAGTTCTTTTAATTCAGTGTCTTTACTTGCCACTGAAGTGATCATGTCTTCTGACTCTTTTAAGGATGCAACCTGAACCTTGCTTCTTGGTTTGTCTGATTCCAAATTCCTTAGGCCTGCTGCTTCTTCTCCCAGCACTGCCTTAGGTGAAGCCAGCTTTTTCCCTAGAGGGTACTCTTCTAACTGACTGAAGTCAAGTTCTTTACATTTTGTTTGAAGAACTTCCCAGAGTGCTTTATGTTCTTGTTTGAGTTGTTCAAGGTGATTTTTTTGTTCATCAAAATCTGCTGCAAGTTTAGTGTGCTCTTCCCTTTCTTTCTGAAATTTTTTCATATCTTCTTTCGTGACCAAAAGCTCCCTCTGTAAGGCTTCTTTTTCTTTTTTTAATTGATTCATGACATTAATGTCATTGTTGGGGTCCAGACACTTCTTCCTGTCCCCAGCACTTAAACCAGGCTCTTCTGAACTGGAATTTTTCAACAATTTTTCCTTCTTCGTAAGTTCAGACTTCACTTTTTCAAGAGCTAAGAGCAGCTGAGAATGTTCCTCTTCATATGCACTGGCTTTTTCATCAAGCACAGATTGCATGTGAGCAAGCATGCAGTCCTTTTCCTCTAAAGATTTTAGGTTCTGCTCACATATATTTTGTTTTTCAGCAATGACATCATTTAGTTCTGCAATATTGTCCTGAAGTTCCTCTAAATAAGAGGCTTTTGAAGACAAAATTTCAGTCAAATCACTTATTTTGGCATCTTTTTCTAAAAGTTGTTGCTTCAAAGTTCCAAGATGAGACTCAAAATCTTTATTTTGTACTTCAAGTAGTTTTAGCTTATCTGTTAACTCATTAACTTTCTTCAACAACTCCTCTGCTTTTTTTTGCTCTTTTTCTATTTCTTCCTGTCCACTCTTTTCTAGTTTTCCAACTTTTTGCATTAGATCTCTTCTTATTATCAATGCTGCTTGAAGTTTCTTTTTCAGATTCTCTTTCTCCTTGCCCATTTTCTCAAGATTAAACTGCATCTCCTTTTTTTCATTCATTAAATCTTTAAACACAGCTTCTCTACTGCTCAATGTACCCTGATTATGTTCCAGTTCTTTCTTACAATCCTCAAGTTCTTGCAATACTCGTTTTAGTTCTCCTACAGAACTATTATGAACAGCTTCAAGGTCTTGCAGTTTGGTATTTAATGTATTTCTCTCTTCAGAAAATTTCAGCATTTCATTAGACAATGATTCCATGAGCTGGGTAACAGAACAGTCCTTTTCTTTCAGTTGCTGGCTTAGACCAGAAATTAAATCCTTCTGCTGATTTACCTGGGACGTTAAGTTTTCGATGAGTTGATCTTTTTTTCCCATTTCTTCAAGGAGACTCGCTAATTTTTTACCTTCAACGTGCAGTTTTTCTTGACTGGTTCTTACTATTTCTTCTGATTTATTTACCTTGTCTTGAAGAAATTCAACCTGCTTATTTATTTCTGCAAAAGATTCTTCCCTTTCTTGCAAGAGAGACTGTTGTTTACATACTGTTTCCTTGACTGTGACCATTTCTTTTGACAGACGTTCAATTTCAGATTTGTATTTGCCCTTCATCTTTTCAATCTCATTCTTCAGCAACTCCTTCTGCTTCTCAAGTGATTGCATACTTTTTAATTCATCTTTCATGGTGTCTATTTCTTTCTGTTTTTCTAAAAGCACCAGTTGCAATTGTTCTCCTTCTGTTTCTTTGCTCAAAATAGTGGTTATCAGAGTGGAGAATTTTTCCAACTGAATTTTACTATCAATTAGCTGCAGTTCAGAATCTGAAGTCTGTGCCGTCTTTTCTTTACATGAAAGCCTACTACTAAGCAATGGAGATAAGCTCTGAGTTAATTTCTCTTTTATAAGATCCAGCTCTTGCTGCAAAGACTGGATTTTGCTGTCCTTTGATTTCATTTCACTTTCTAAACTGCTCAATTGCTCAGCAAGATTATTGTTTTGTAAAGTTGCCCTATCAAGTTCTGTCACCCATTTGTTTTCTGACTCAAGTAGACTTTGTTCAAGAGTTTCAAATTTAAGTTCTAATTTAGAAAGTTCTTCACCCTTCACACTAACCTGCATCTGTAACTTCTCTTTTTCAGTCTTCATCTGCAGTTTGACAGCATCTATCTGCATTCTTGAATAATTCTCACTGGTTTCTAGTTTTTCATTGATTTCTCGGAGCTCTTCCAATTTCTTTTGCAAATGATTTTGAGATGTAGTAAGTTGTGCATTTTCAGCCATCAGCTTATCAGCATCTTCTTGTAACCGATTTTTTTCTTTCTCTAAAGACTCTACCTGGCACTGCAGACTACCTATTAAAAGCGCATTGTCATGGCAGTCCTGAGATGATTTGGAATTTATATTGTTCAACTCTAACTTCAAATATGCTATGTTATCTGCCTGTTCAGTGCTCTTCACACGCAGAGACTCCATAGCCAATTCTTTTTGCTGTAGTTGTTCTTCCCATGTACTTATTTGGTCTAGTGCTTTTTGGTGTTCATTTTTAAGAGAGTCAAGTTCAACTGTCAAAGAATCAATTTTCTTCTGATTAATATCAAGCATCTCATTCTTTTCCTGAAATGCCTTAGTAAGGTTTTTCACAGCTGTACCACTTTTCTCTAATTTTCCTCTGAGAACTTCAATCTCACTAGAAAGAACATTAATGTTGCTATCTGCCAACTGTATACTGGTATCTTTCTCCTTTAAGGAATTAAGCAGTCCAGCAATAACTTCTTCTTTTTTCCCAAGAGCTGCATTCAACTCAGTTCTTAGTTCATACTGTGCTTCAATTTTCTCCTGAAGGGATAAAAAGGCATTTTCTCTCTCATGGAGTAGTTCTTTAGATTTCTGTAGTTCTTGTGTTAGTTCATGTACCTGACTTTTGAGCTGAGAAATTAAATTTGTCTTCTCTTCATCTTCCCTTGCTTTCTCCTTCAGAGTTTTGAGGAGACTTTTATTCTCCATAAGAGATGACTCCTTTTCTGATAAGGACTGGTCCATCTCAATTACTACATTCTTCTGATGTTGTATTTCTTTTTGTAAATTCACTTTCACTTCCTCCAGCTCTACCACCTGTTTCTTTAAGACCTCACATTCATTCTCTTTCTCTTGAAGTTGTGTCTTTAAATTCTCACTAGATAATGAAATATTGTTGATGGTTAATTCTTTTTCTGAAACAAGTACTTTTAATTGTTCTGCTTCAGAAGCTAAAAGCTCCAACTGTTTCTGCTGCAAAACGGAAGATTCCTGTATCTCAGAAAGCTGTGCTTTTAAACCTATGTATTCATCTAGCTTTTGTTTTAAACATTCATCCTTCTGTATTATTGAATCATTCAACTGGGATGATTTTTCTGTCACTTTTCTAAGCTGATATTGAAGGTCAGAAATAACCTCCATATTCTCAGACAGTTGAACCCTAAGTACATCAGACTCTTCAGATTTATCTTTTAATAACTTTAATTCTTGGGCTTGCCTCTTAAATTCATTTTCTTTTTCCTGCATTGCGTGTCTAAGCTGGCTGGTTTCAAAACCTAGGGCTTGTATTTGGTTTTGCAGATCTGAAATTATTTGCATATATTGCCCTTCTCCTGCCATTTTATTATCTTTCATCTGCTGAATCAAAGCCTCCTTTTCAGAAAGGAGAGTTTCTTTTTCTTCTAAGACAATTTTTAAGTTTTCTTTTTCAATCAAGAGGCCATCAATTTGGTCCTTCAGAGCTAAAATATTATGACTTTGTTGGGACAAGTGTGAAGTTAAAGCAGCTACTTCGTCTGACTTCTTCATTACCATAACATTAACTGTTTCAATGTCTACTTTCAATTTTTCATTTTCTAGAGCTGCTGTATGTGCTTGTTGCCTTGCTGAAGTAATTTCAGACTGCTGCTGTACCAACTGTGACTGAAGAACTTCATATTCACGTGACTTCTCGCTCAATAAGCTTGAAAAGTCCTCCTTTTCATGCCGAAGCACATCCACTTCTTTGCTTAATATCTGTAGCTGATTATTTAACACTGTACTTTCTTCCATTTTTTCAGAAACTTGCCTATGAAACTTCTCAAGTTCTGTATCCTGATTTTTTACAGTCAGGTCTCTTTCCTCTACCAACTGAGATAACTTTATTTTTTCATCTTTAAGATTTTTAATTTCATCCTGCAACTCTACAATACAAAACTTACTCTCTTCCATTGCCTTATGTAATGAATCATTTTGAAGGATCTTCTCCTCTAGAGACCTGTTTGCAGCTTCAAAATCCAAAGTTACGCTTTGAATTTGTTCCTGCAGTAGTAAATTCTTTTCCTTACTATGGCTGAGCTCTTGGACTAGGCTACTGCATTCAGATAACTTATTATTTAACATTTCTTCTTTCTTTATTTCTTTTTCTCTAGTATCCTTCAGCTGAATGAGAAGTGATTGCATTTGGTCATGCAACTTTTGTGTCTGTTCCTTCGTTTCAAACAACTGATCAGCTAGCACATTACATTCCTTTGTTTTCTCCTGCAGCTGTTCTGCAACTGAATTTTCTTTTTGCTCGGCAAGTATTGAAAGTTGTTCAATCTCTTTTGCCAGAGTGTTTTTATCACAATTTAGTACTGAAAGAGTTTTTTCATACTCAGCAGTGCTAACGGATAACTTATTCTCTATTTCTGCTACAGCCTGGATTTTCTCTCTTTCACATCCAGCAGTTTGGACAAATTCTCATTTTCACTGATTAGTTGTTCCTTCTCTTTTTTCACCATATCTATACTTTTTTTCAGATACTCATTTGCTTTTATTTGCTCTGCCAGTTTTTCTTCTATCCCTTCAAGATCTGCCTGCAATTGCTTATTAGCTGAAGCTTTCTCCCGTGTCTCTATTTCCATCTTGTTAATTTGTTTATGTATTTCATTTAATTGGTTATTAAGTTCTTTGCAACATGTCTCTTTGGCTTTCAGATCTCCTGTTAATTTAAGTTTAGTCTCTTCATTTTGCTGCTCCAAAACCCCAAGCTTCTGCTCTAATGAAATAATAAATTCTTGTTTCTCTTGCAATTCTTTTTTAATTGTTTCCTGATGTTCAGTATGTTCTATAAGCTTCCTAGATAACTCAGCCAACTCTTCATCTTTTTTAGCATTTTCCAAAACCAGTTTGTTGTATGAATCTTTAATTGATTTTAACTCATTTTCAAGTGTCTGTGCTTTAGACTCTTTCTCTTTAAGCAAATTGTTCCATTTTTCCTTTAGAGTATTGTTTTCCTCAAGCTGAGATTTCAAATATTCAGTTTCTTTTCTTTGTTTATCCTCGGTTTCTTGTAGCTTTTCAGATGATTTACTAATTTGTTCTTTCAGCAAAGTAATTTGTGACTCACACTCTGCAAGTTTGTTATGGTATGCGACATTGTTGGCTTTGATTTCAGAATGGAGATCCTTAATTGTAATGCTGTTCTCACTGCTTTGTCTTATTAATTCCTCATTTTCTTTGGTTTTAGCTTCATTCTCAACTCTAACTCTTTCTAGCTCTAGTCTCATTGTATTACTTTGCTCAGAAAGGACAGATATCTTCACACTTGCATCTCTTACATCAGCTGTTTGTACTTCTTTCAGTAAATTAGTTTCTCTTTCAGCCTTTGATAAAGCCTCTTCCATCCCTCGTATTTCTTCCTCTTTACATTGCACTTGACGCTTCAGGATGATAACCTGTTCAGAATATTCTGTCACATTCAAAGACAGGACAGACATCTCCCTGTCTCTTTCTGCCAGAGTTTCTTTAAGATTATCAATTTCTCTTTCACGTTTCTGGAGATCTTGAATAAGTTGAGATCTTTCCTCTAAATGGCTTGTATTCAATTTGTCAAGCTCTTCATTTGTCTGGTCCAGATCCAGCTGCATCGACTCTACCACGCCATCTTGTTTCAAAGTCTAAACATCAAGAAAATAATGTTACAAGAATACTTCAAACATATGTTAGAGGGAGAATGGAAGTACACTCCACATGTAGAACGAGTATCTAAGGTAATCAATCTGTACTCAACTGTATAGTCACAAGATAGCCATGTTATTCTTTAGATTGTTTTAGCATACAAAAAGTTTAGTGTATGAAATTTTGAGCAGCTAATGATGTTATTTTGCTGACATTTAAATGGGCCATGTCAAAAGAACATAAAATCTCTTCTCTTATTTTGTTTTAATGAGTTACCTTTTCCTTCAGTGTAGCAACTTTTTCTGTTAGATCACTGATGACTGTTTTCTGCTCAGTGTTCTCCACTTCATAAATACTGCACTTCTTTACAGCTTCATTCAGCTTAGTATTAAAAATAAAAGTCAATGTGATAGAAACATATAGAATTACATTAAAGTTGTGATGTTAGAGTTCGAATATTGAGTTTACATAACAGTGGAGTCTATATTTTGAAATTAATAAACGAGGATAACTTATCACCCCAATAAAACATAAATACTTTCATGCAAAGCTCTGTGTTGGGTCTAAGAAACCCTGACACCCAACTTAAAGCAAAACAATTACATAAAGTGAACAAAACTGTAAAGGAACAGTGCAAAAACCTTCATATATGGAAAACAGCAATATTGCTGCTGGGACACAAATAGAAAATTACGGCTAATGCTTGCCATAATTCTAATGAATTAAATACTATTTAACAATAACTTTAACTTACTTTTTGCTCAGTATGCACAAACTTTTCACCAAGCTCTTTGTTCAGAAGATCCTTTTCTTGAAGCAGTTTCCTCAAAGTTTCAATTTGTTCCAGTTTTTCTGTCGTGCTCAACAGTTTTTGTTCTTTTTCTCCAAGTGAAGTTTCAAGGAAGCTATTTCTGTCACTTAATCTAAGAAGAAAATCCATATTTAGATACTTTGAAAACAAAGCTTGCTTTAAGCTTTCTAGATTTATTAGCCCCAAACTATGTTCCTAAAAGAATAATTATTTTTACACTTTCCATTTAAACTTCCAAGTACAAAAATAAAATTACAGCAAACAGAAGCAGGAATCAAGCAACTCTTTTTTTTTTTTTTCCCCAAGTGTTTTAAGAGATTATACTTCTCATTAGAAGTTTAAGCTTAAAGCAAAGAAAGCTAATCCTGTACGGAGTTGTAAAGAACCTTTATTTTACCCTTTAAGCTGCTCATTCAAGCCAGAGATCAGAATTTGATGCTTTTCCGCATCTCGCATTTGTTGGTTGCGTAATTGCGTGAGTTGAGTTTGCAAACGTTCATTTTCATTCTGCAACAAAATAGTAATGAAGAGGATTATCACATACAAACACCCAGAACAGCGTAAGATAACTGGAGTCATGAAAATCTGACTCTTCAAGAGATTTACATCCTACATGGTAATAGAGACCATTATTCTAGCACTTTAGCAGATATCAGTGCAAAATACAACACTAATATCACAAGTTCAGATGTGATATTAGTGCAAATAGATGCAACCCACCTTTCAGAAATACCTCCTTCAGCAATGCTATGATAGCATGAACTCAAGGATGATTGCTGTATACCCAAAACAACACACACACTTATACTGTGTTAAGGCAGCTTACTTATCTTAACAGGGGAAGCTACTGCTTTGAAAAAATACTTTCCTCATTGGTTTGAAGATAGTACCAAACTTGCAAATTTTTTTTTGCCTTTTTTTTTTCAGGTTGAAGGAATGCAAAAACCTGCATATGGGGGATTGTGGAGAAAAGAAAAAGGAAGCAAGCTTCATTCACACAGCTTTTTTTTTTTTTTTAAACACAGTACAAATCTCCTACTCTAGCCAGATCCACTGCACCAATTCAAAAATAAAACCACAAAAAAAATCTGACAACAGCAACCAAAGACCAAAAGCAGAACACATATCCAGAATCAAGAGCAAATAGGACAAACATGGCAAACTTGTCACCTCTAATGAAAATAAGCTAGCATTTTGGAGGAGGCAGAACACACCTGTACCGCCCTCAATAGCTGCCCTTCTTCATCTACACCAAACGTTACCTGTATTGAAAGGCTTTGTTACAAGATTCTCAAGTAATAATTACTGTAAGGTTGTCTTTCATCTTAAAACATTAATTCTTTCTTATATATGTGCAACTTAACAGATAAAGAATTATGAATAATGGACCAAGCCTGAAGGAGTTTGAGTAAGACATCAGTTGTGTCATTTAGTGAAAATAAGGTTTACAAATTATTAAACATAGTAACTTGTCAATCAGGAAATATTAGAAATAACTTTTCTGATAAATATTTACTTCAGTGTTCCTTTTGGTGCCTTCATTGAATAATTTTACAATATAAATATATACCAAATTAGTATCTGGGGTTTAGAT